CTCAGAACCACAAAAACTTCAAAAATGGCAAATAATTTGACTCCCTCCCCCATCCTCAAAAAAAAGAGAGGAAAACCTAATGACAATTCTTTAAAAAGAGTCGAACCTTTTTATGAGACCTGTTGCCAATATTAGTGCCACCGAATGATCTCATCTTTCATTCTGGCTAAATTCCAACACACAATTTCATTAACCCAGGTACTGCAGGTGATAAAACTCATTTTTCCCTAAAGAGACAGCTAAAAAGTACCAGTTATACATTTATGAAGTACCAGCAATCAAAATTATGGATTTTCTAAAAGGTTTTTAACTACTTTTATTGAAAGGAAAATCGCTGTCTCAGACTTTTGTGACACTATTGCTAATAATAAATTTTACCATTTAGACATCGCAGTAATATGGTAGACAGTGTCAATAGAAGTATGAAACAAAGATGATCCTCGTCTCTTAAGTAATGCTTTCTGATTACACACCGGAAATTATAATGTGAAGCATAAACTAAGAGCACCTTAAGATATAAAATGCAATAATGCAAGACAATGTGCCTCGCAACGCATGTGCCACACACAAGTATGTCAGCAGGCAGGCATCAAGGTGTTTTATGGTAGAAGCCTAACGCTCATCCCAAGGGGAAAAACAGTTATATGTGCACCTAGAACTAAAACCGAGAGGAGTGAGTTGGAGCTGTCTGACAAGCTAAGGGGAGGAATGAAGGTTTTTTGAAGGGATGCTACTTTTGGGTTCCTCGCTGCAAAGTTTCCCTACGAGCATCCCCGGGAGCACTAGAGGGCACTGTGGGATTTGGGCCACCCTGGCCTCCTCTTCCTCCTCCTGCTGCCGCCTCAGGGGTCCTGAACCCCCCTGCCAGGCAAGGAAGGTTATGAGGGAGGTGTTAAAAGAACCAGTAAAATGAACATCTGAACGGCAACTCCACATATTCCTGGGAAATCAAATGCTCAATGGCATCCCTGCAACTGGGCTGGGCCGGGCGGCTGCCCCCTCAGCAAGGCTTGGGAGCAGGAAGGTGAACTGAGCCTGCGAGCAGCTTAAAACCCTAAAAAGCCACCTACAGACTGGCCTTTCCTCTGCCCTCGCTACCCTACTTGATGATAAGGTCTCTGTTGTGCTAACTGCAGATGATTTCACCGCGGAACATTCCGACATGCAAATGATAGCAATTAATGCCTTTGAAACAATTTATGATTTCCGGCCTACTTCAACATGTATTAGCATATACCTGGTTTCTTTAATATACACTTTGTTTTTCCAAAACCACAAACATAGTTGCTGGAATTTCATGTGGAAGTGCTTAAGGGGTTGAAAGTTAACACCTTTGTGAGCCGAGCAGTCTCACAGTTGCTGCTGAACAAAAGCCTCTTTGTAGGAGCTTTCTCGAAATGTTTTCTTAACATGTTCCAAGTAGTTTTAGGCAGGCAACTAAAGTAAACAAGATGTTACCATGATAAAAACACTTGTGAAAACATTACAGAGTGCACTTAGTAGTTTCTTTCACATAAACTCCCCTTCGTTTCATCAAAGTTAAATGCACATGAAGCAGATTACTAGCATCACTGCGATACAGGACCACAAGATCTCTCCGAAGGTCTGCGTCCCTCTTTTAAAGAATAGGTCTGATTTTAAAATGGTATGGCCGTGATTAAGCATGCCTAAAATATAATCAAATTTAAAAAAGGAGAAAAAAAGAAAGGAGAAAAAAAGGAGAAAAAAAGAAAGGAGAAAAAAAGAACAAAAAAAAGGGGGGGGGGGGGGGGGAAGGGGGAATATAAAACCCTACTCAGTCTTTTCCTTCATTCTTCACCCTGGATACCTTGCTGAATAACCCCCCTCCCTCCAGCAGGGATTTCCTGCACAACATGCCGTATAAGGGGTATATATTTCTATCTGCAACAGTCTTTAAACACATGCAAATGAAATCAGGGATACAGTCAATTTCGAAGGAAAGTCACTCTGTGCTACTAATTGCTCCTTTCGCTGCCGCCTGCGAGTCAGGCCCTGGTTAACACGCGAGACACGTGTGGACCCTCCAGCCCTCACCTGGCTTCCCGCAGCTTGGCAGAAGGCCATCAGGTCACTGCGGTGAGACTGGACTTGTTTTTTAGGCTCGGGGAGAATTCTGGAGCATGCAGGGCGCTACTGTTTCATTAGGCATAGCAGCAGCCCCTGCTGCTATCAGTTACCTCTAACTGATACCGCATCACGTGATAACCAATGGCTGATGGATTAAAGGGAGAATAAAAAAAAACACCCCACAACGCTAAAACTGCAACTTATTTCAAAAAGAAATAGGGAAATAAATGCATACAATAGCCCGTGTATCTGCTGGTTCTGATAAGCATCCTCCTGTTGGCTGTGAGTGAAAGACAACTAGGATCGTTATTTGTACAGTATTTATCTTTGAAATCAAGGGCCCTGTGGTGTACCTCACCTTGGGAACAAACACTACAGAACGATCACAGAAGAGTGTCAAATCTCTGGTTTTGATTTACCAACAGTTATGATATTTCTTCCTCAGGAGGAAAAGAAATGAACCATGTTTTAGACCTGCAAGTCCTTTTTTCTCCCTTAACTGTAGAATCATTTTATTGGCATACAGGGCTTTCATTCCACATGTAACTTCTCTTTGCTTTTTCTAACAGGCCTTTTCACTGAGGTAAGTGAAATTAAGCAATGCTCAATTGATACACAGGCTGTATTTCACTTGGTAAACAAGAGCTTTTCTCTTGAGGGGACTGTCGAAAGAACTTCACGGATTATACAAGTATCAGAAAGAAACTTCAAGCATCTACCTGTTATCTGTGCATTGAGTAATGAATTCCGATAAATGGCAACATAATTTAAGGATGGACGCTCCACAGGAGGCTTGGAAGGCTACAGTATCATTTTATGAAGCAATGCTCACTTCCTAACAGTGTCAATACGCTGCTCGGGGACATTCATTTCTGCATTCGTTCTGGGTTAAATATCACTCTGAACAATAAGACTTTGTCTGGACACTGTAGAATTTGAATAATGAGAAAATTTACATGAGCTGATGGGTTTAAGAAAGTCACACAAAATATTTCTATTGAAAGGTTTCAATGAGGGGGAAAAAAAAGATTGATGATAAGTGTGTGATAAAAGAACCACCATTGTTGGAACTGGGAGTAGATGGAGCCACTTCAGGTCCAGCCTGGGCTGGTAAATGGTTTTCAAGTTATTCCTACCTAATGATTGCCCCTAGTATTTTGTCCAGGTGAACTGGGTCTACTTACTGAAACATCTCCAAAATGCCATATAAAAAATTCAATCCTGCCTCTGCCCACGCTGTGTGACTTAAGGGATGTATTTTCTACGTGTGGTCACATTAAGCAGGAAATCTCCCTGAAACCAGCAGATCTAATCTGGAACAGGGACTAGCACAGGAAGCAAAGGTGGCATAACTGATGAAACGTGATTGCACAGGTCAGTCTGATATCTAAGGCTACCGCAGCACCTCTCCCCTGCCTTAAGTGCAGTAAGATTTAGAATTGTTTTACAGGTCTAAATGATATAGTATGTCACAGGCATATGAATATGCTGGCAAGTATGGCAAGATTAGCATTTAGTTCACTTAGGTGAACAACAGGATGAATTACAAGAAATAAGGCCACCCTTTATGGAAATCTATGACTAGCACCTTCTTATTTTGTAATCCTCTTGTAATGAGAACTTCCTCATTACTGCACCATTCCATACTTGTAACATATGTTTATACTAGGACCAGTGCTGCTTCTACTGAATTAAGAAGGGTTTTGCCAGTGGAAGCAGAACTAGCCCATTCTGTTCTGAGAACAAAAACCTATCTGTGTCATCTAACATCATCCAGCAAACATCCCTTACTTGCTGTTGCCCTTCCCTCCCTCCTGTAAAAATCCAGGGAGCTGTCCCAGGAAGAGCAGGTACAGCTCAACATTTTGGGACTGATTCTACATATCTATCCTGAAGAACCCCATATATTTATGTGGACTACTTCATAAGATCACTACTGCAAATGGGAGCAGAACCTGTCCCTTTGTGCATTTAAATCATAAGCATTGCTTGGGCACTTGGTCTCCTGTGATCTTACAGCCCTAGTACTTGAGAAAAGATCAGTGCCCAAACCTTCCAAAACCTGGGTGCATCTAAAGCATACGTGTACCCGGTCATCTACCCTGACAGAACACTCTTTTGTGATGGGAACACTGTTTACTCCAGCTTGGAGGTGATGGTGATGGTTTCGCTGTGGAGCAGCCATGTGTAAGTTATTAGAGCTCTGCCGGTCCTTCCCTGCATCAGGATGCACGCATTACCACATACTAGTCCATAATGCACTGTTTATGCAACGCGTAAAACTGTGTTCTTTGGCAGCAAGGAAAAGGTCTGCAGCAAACTGCAGGGGCCCAATTAATATAATTATAGTTTATTTTTAGTAGTGTAGACTTTGTTCATTAGTTACTTATTTGACATAAATTAAATTTCACGTGATGTTCTGCAATTCTCTGTTCAATTATGGACTTAATTTAAGACTAAATTTCTAAATTAAAGTGAAATCAAGGTTAAATCAAGGTTGCATTGTTTACATTATCAATACTGCATCTTCCAAATTATTTAAATATATTAAAAAACAAAAAAAATAAAAGGCTGTAAACTGCAACTATTTTACAGCAGTACACTGAGCAGGACCGTACTTTCCCCACGGGGCTAATTTACTATCCCCTGTTAAAACGTTCTTGAGCCTGTTCCAAAAGCCATTGAAGTGAAAGGGAGTTCTCTGTTGACTTCAATGGGCTTTGCATCAGGCCCACGGTGAGTGACAGCACACAAAACTTCAGGGCATGCTTTCTGTACAATGCAAGTGCCAAAAAAACAGTCCTTACTTTAGAAATGACTGGAAGTCTTCACATACTGCTTCACAGCCTGGCCATTTGCATACACCGTGTCCATACAGCGGATGGTTGTGTGAATGCTCCTCGTGGGATAAACTGGAGGTGAAAAAGAGAAAAGAGGAAAAGTGGTGTAACTGAAGGTACTGCGCCAGTTCGTCTTCACAAAGACTCTTAAGAGCAGCAAACAACAGATCCTGAAGCCTCCCTAACGTCTCACAGTACCCACCTGACTCTGCCCATGGTTTTTCAAAACAGAATTAAATACCATTTGCAGTGAGAAACATGTGTCATTCTTACTTAGCTATCCTCCTACATTTCATTCATTAATTAAAAGCTTTGTAAAGAATTTAAATTACATGGATGGAGAAGAAATCACTTGACAGACCTGCTTAATATCCTGCTTGATATTTTGCTAAGAAATTTATGAACACTGCGTATTCACAACTCAACTTCATCAGGAAGAAAAGTCATCTCCACACAGCAATGTATTCTTGTAACACAATATAACCCGACCTGAGGCTTTCCTCATCACTACAGAAAGAGGAAAAGCATTAAGTCTGCAGCCTTGCCTTTCCCACCATGTTATTTATTTACTGGTTTGTTTTGTTTTGTTCTTCATTTTGGGATGGCTTTTTTCACCCCTGCTTACAGACTGTTTCTTTGCGCAAGTACAGACCTCTTACATCCCAGAAAAGAAGGCTCAAGATGTAATTTCAAATGCAAAATTCATCATAAAAAAGGAACCTTGTAATCAAAGGATTCCTGAGCACGAGGGGTTAGTGGGGGCTATTAACCTTCAAAGGTTGGGCAGGAACGTCACAGAGCTTTCTAACTACTGAAACCTGGGTTAAAGAAGAAAAAACTGGTATGAGCACTAAGGGGTTAATCCTTCAGCGGGATTCCAATCAATACGTAATGATTTGGCTGCACTGATCCAAGTCATAAGACGCTTTGATCCAGGCCATGTGGTGCTCAGGGAAATGTATCTGTTGCACTAACTGATGAACCATATTCTAAAATACCTTCTTTATTCAACTTCTGCATGGAAACTTCTGAAGTAAAGGAATTATTTTTGCAACAATTTCCATAACCTTAGATGACTTTCAAAATAAAATGTCAAAATAATATTGAAATCTCTATTTTATGCTCACACACAGATCTATTTTTCATAGCAATCTTTTTGCTATAGTATGCCTGTGCTGTATTATGGACTTCAAACATACACAAAGGATATGAACACATACCAGCATCTAGGTGTGGCTTTTATGACTTATTTTATCCTGGATCATAGGTAACGTTACGGATAAATGCTTACTTTTTGCCATTTTACTTTTATACACATGTGGAAATGCTGTTTTTTCTTGTTCTGTAATATTATCTGCTGTGTACTGTAACAAGATTGTGTTCTTGAATTATTTCTGATGCATTGGATAGCAAAATCACCATAGAACACTCTCCTGAGATGTTATCCCAAATGCAAAGAAGTTGCAAGAGAAATTCTTGCCCAGACTATGCCACTTTTGACTTCAGGCCCATTGAGAATCTGAAGATAACTGAAGGTGGGGGTTTTAATTATTTTAAAGTTGTACGGTTTTAATTAAAAAAATTTAAAGATCTCATTGGAAAAGTTATTATGAGTTGTACATGAACTTAATTATTTCATTGACATCTAAATTTTGGCTGTACACATAGAGTTCTACAAGCATAAACATATCTTTATCTATATCTATAGATCTATATCTATATCTATCTACGTATGTGTGTGCAAGGTAATTCCCTAAAAGAAGAACTGTCGGTGAAGAGACTTACAAAGGCCTTTTCTCTACAGGAATACTACCCTGGTTTAACTTAATTTTGTTTAAAATGTGCAAGTGGGGAGAAACTCTATCAGTTAATTTTTTAAAAGAACAAAGGGACCGATGCCTTCCTTGCAAGGAAATTGGAAAAATGCTGCACCACACATTTCCTCAGCTGAGACTGAGGGAGGATGGCTGAAAAACACCATCCACCCGAGCCACACAGGCGTATGGTCAAACACCCCACACACACATCAGGAAAGAATGATTCGGAGAATAATGGGGTTTATCATCTGCTTCCATACCTGAATGAAGCAAGGAGTGAGAAAGTAGGCTTTCATGTTAACACTCTATTAAAATCTATGAAGACTGTGTATGAGAGTTATGATTTCAGTGTGCTCGGCAGAACCCCAAAAAAACATTCACTATATTAATTCACACAGCGCGTGTTACCCGTGCACCAGGATGACCGCAGAAACACCGGGTGATGCCAAGTAAGGAGTCAGGCCCCTGTGGGGTTTAAGCACTGTAAATCTCATTATAATATCAACAGGAGTCACATGGCTTAAACCCCCAGCAGGGCTTTTTTAAGTTTCTCTGTCAGAGCCTAAAGGCCACGGCCAAGTCAACGGAAAGAGCCCTACCGAGATTTGTATTTATTTTTTTAAATCCAAGTGCAAATCTCTTTTCTTTCCAGGAAACTTGCACAAGACAAGACAAATGATGTAGGACATGATACCCTGGTACTGTGTCCAAAGAAAATGACAGAACGACCAGGAGAGTATCAAACTGCAGACTATGCTCAGGATGTCAGACCAGTGCTGTCAATAACCAGAAAGATTGGTGCTGACTGTAAATGGCAACGTAAAAGGTCATTTTGCTAACACGATGCTAAGCGTAACTTACTTAACACCTACATACAGCTTCAACTGCCATTTGACAAAGCAAAGCAACTTCTTCAACTTACCAAAAATAGACACTTCAAAAGCAAAAAAACCCCTCAGTACTGAAAGACAAATGCAGGCATCCTCCATAGGCAGCGTGTCTTTCCAAAGGCAGCTACTCCCATCCCACTCAGGGAGGGGTTCAGAGGTACCTTTTGGTGACCTTTAAGCATATCAGGTGACTGCTATTTTATCCATCCCACTTTTGAAGATATTATAGATTGCCACTTGTTCCCTGATAAGAGCCTCAAGAAGCACCTCAAAACAAAACAAAGAGCGGGTTTATACAGAAGCGGATGTAACGCAAAAAGGATACAGCCATTGGAAATGAATGGAGAACTCTGTTTCACTGATCTAAATACTCACTTTGTTTGAGCAAACAGAGGTGGAAAACGAAGATTTTAATCCAATACATAAACAAACAGCTTTGTGGGCACAATGCAAACCTATAAGCTTAAATCATTCAATGATATTTTGTCTGCATGTGAGAACGGTTTATCTGGATGCATCCTTGGTCTCGCTGCCGGAGACAGACTTTTAAAGATCTGAGCTTTGGCAAGCAGAAGCAAGTTTTAGGTCTGTTTGATTTCTAATGACACATTAGAGTAGGTGTTTGTTTCTGTCACCCTCTCTCCTTCCCAGGAACGCATATTCATGGTTGGGTACAGGAGATGCAACACTAGCTAGTGGAAGTGATTTTATAAGAAGACATGATTTTCAAAGAACTGAAGGCATAAACGATGGAAAAATCAAGATTATGTGGGGTTTTTCTCCTTGTATTTGCATACAGAATGCTTAACACAATTATTTCCAAATAATGCAATAGCACAGCACTATTACATCGAAGTACAGCAAATAACCCTCTGGCAAGTAAAACCTCTTGCATAACTCAACTTATTCATGACATACGACAGAGTAACGAAATCCATGTGGGAAGCTGAAAACTGCGTAAGTGTCCACTTATTTTCTGTTGCCTCCAGCCCGGTTTCCAGTAAGGAGAGGAGGGGAGAAGAGCCAGCTCCTCTGTGCTTGCTGGATAAGAGGAGAGGAGTTTATACCTCCGCTTTCTTCAACCTATGTTGCTGCTTCATAGCCCCAAGGATCTCCAAAGGGTCTGGAACCACATTCACCACCTGCTCCAGCAGGGATGGCTGTAGAAGCTGCTACTTGCACAGCTCCGCTCTTTAGACTACTTCAGCCATTTAACTTTAATCCACCTGCTGTACTACAGCATCACTGAAGAATAACTCTTTAGGATACAAAAGCTCAAAGATGGAGAAGCCACAGAGAGCTAAGCGCACATGGAGAGTAAAAATGACAGCAGACCCCCAAGAAAGATGTGAACACACTAAGTGTTGGGGTAAGTAGAGACCAAAGCACTAGCAGGAAAGCTACCCAGGCTGTATGGTTTAATTCAACCCATACTCAGTAACTGTGTGAAACTGGTTACCATCCTTATACACGCTGGCCAAAAAGTCACGGGTGGATATAAAAACCAGCTGAGCAGAAGCCTTAGGAATAGTGCTTCTGCCACACAGTGGACCGTATTTTAAATATTCATGATGCTGACATACTTCATATTCCACTCTCTCCCCTCCACATCTGCTTGGGCCAACGATCTCTGCCAAAATGCTGGACGAAGTCAGTGATGTAGAGAAGCATCCCTGATTTTCTATTACAGTTATGAAACATCTGCTCATGTTCTAACAGCGCAGAGAACATGCCTGAGCCACCTGCACACTGAAAAATCAATAGCACATCTCCTGCTTTCCTCTTGGAAGGGGTTTGACCAGAGCACCCACAGAAACTGCAGAAATGCCTTTTTTTTCTTTTATTTTATTTCTCAGGGGCAATGGGAAGTGACCTCATCACTGCCAGCTGCCATGAAACCAGCGTTCAGTGCACAGAGCACAGGCGGGAGTACAGGACTCAGTCTCACACCACATTCCCCCTTGGCCTAAGTGGATGGCACAGACACTGAGGCAAAATGCTATGATTTTGGTCTTGTACAGAAGAAACACAACTGGGAACCAGCATGAGTCTCCTGTATTTGTGACTGCCCAGGGAGCTTTCAAGCTCACCAAAAAGCACCAACGGAATAAAGCTGGTGAAAATGTCACAAGTCTCCTAGTCAGGAACACTCTCTGCATTTGACTTAAAGTTTAAATGGAACCAGTAATGAATAAATCTTTGCACTAACTGTACTTGAATGGAAGTTCCTGCCTTCATGGCAAAATCAATTGCATAAAGATATGTTTTGCAGTGAAGGTGCAAATCCCCCTGAATTCTTACTAAGGTGGCTCAGCACCTCCTTCCTCTCTAAACTGTCAATTTAATATAAAACCCAGTCGTTAAA